AGCTGTTTTGAATGTAGGATCACATAGTACTCTGTTTCAGGCGGTCTGGCTTGATCAAACCACATTAGTCTGGAAGGAATCCACATCTTTTCATTTTCTGTGGAAACAAAAATAGAAATCCTTTCCCCTGTAACTTGTCCTTGAACTTAAATTTTGGAGTCAAAGCATTTTTTTTATTTAATTTATTATTTTACATGTCGATCCCAGTTCCCTCTCTCTCCCTTCCTCCCTCCCTCCCTCCTTTCCTCCTTCCCTCTCCCTCCCTCTTACCTTCTCTGCCCTCTCACATGCACCCTAACCACCCTCCCCTCCCATCACCCCCAGCCCAATTCCATATGTAGGGGAATGCCATCCAGTTGGGGTCATGTAGATCTGACAGGTCATGTGAAGTAGGGACTAGGGCTTCTATCCTGTCTCTAGGGTAAGGCAGTTATCCCTCAAAGGAGTATATATTCGCAAGGTCCTTTTGTGCACCAGAGATACATCCTGGCTCCACTGTCTGAGGTCCCTTAGACTGCTCAGTCCTTCTGGCTGAGACCCATATTCAGGGGGTCCTGAGTCAGTCCCATGCTGGCTTTCCAGCTATCAGTCTGGTGGCCCGTTAGCTCCTCCTTGTTCAGGTAAGCTGTATCTATGTGTTTCTGCTGCCTGGTCTTGTCCTCTCCATCTGCATCTGGGTTCTACTTCGACTCAGTGTTTATGAATGGGTGTTTGCTCCTATTTCCAACAGGTATTAGATGAGGGCTCCATGGATGAGCTAGTTGTTGATATCACTATCTAAGAAGGGCATTTATGGTATCCTTTCCACAGATGCTCAAATTGTTAGTTGGCAGCAGTCTTGTAGCACTCTAGACCTTTCTTTGTGTTCAATATTCTCTTCAAACCAATATTGGCTCCCTCTTTTATGTTCTCTCTCTCTCTCTCTCTCTCTCTCTCTCTCTCTCTCTCTCTCTCTCTCCTGTCTTATATTCCTAACCTGGCTCATTCTTCCTAGTGGCACGTGTTTTCCTATCCTCCCCCTAGTTTTCTCCTACTTCTCTCTCCATTCGCTGCCCCCCCCCACTTCCCCTGTGCTCTGGGGGACTTGTCCCTTCCTAGTTCTGTGAGGGACTTTATATGAATCTCTTAGAATACACCTTGTATCATAGTTCCTCTGGTGGTGTGAATTATAGGCTGGTGATCATTTGATCTAGGTCTAAAATCCATATATGAGCAAGTACATACCATGTTTCTCATTTTTGTGACTGAGTTACTTCATTCAGGTTGGTTTCTTCAACTGGCATCCACTTGCCTGCAAATTTCAAGATACCAGTTTTTGTGCCACATCTTCATTAACCATTCTTCAATTGAGGGGCATCTAAGTTGCTTCCAGGTTCTTGCTATTACAAATAGTGCTGCTATGAACATAGTTGAACAGATGTCTTTGTTGCATTGATGTGAATCCTTTGGGTATATGCCTAAGAGGGGGATTGCCGGGTCCTGTGGTAAACTAATTCCCATTTTCCTGAGGAACCGCCATACTGATCTCCAAAATGGCTGTATGAGTTTGCACTCCCACCAGCAGTGGAGGAGTGTTCCACTTTCTCCACATCCTCTCCAACATAAGTCATCACTGGTGTTTCTAATTTTAGCCATTCTGGCAGGGGTAAGATGGTATCTCAAAGTTGTTTTGATTTGCATTTCCCTGATAGCTAAGGATGTGGAGCATTTTCTTAAGTGTCTTTCAGCCTTTTTGATTTCCTCCATTGAGAATTCTTTCTTCAGTTCTGTACCCCATTTTTTAATAGGGTTATTTGGTGTTTTGTTGACTAGTTTCTTGAGTTCTTTGTATATTTTGGAGATCAGCCCTTTGTCGGATATAGGATTAGTGAAAATCTTTTCCCAGTCAGTGGGCTGCCGTTTGGTCTTGTCAACTGTGTCCTTTGCCTTACAGAAGCTTCTAAGTTTGAAAAGGTCCCATTTATTAATTGTTTCTTTCAGTGTCTGTGCCCCTGGAGTTATGTTCAAGAAGCGGTCTCCTATACCAATTTGTTCAAGGGTACCTCCTACTTTCTCTTCTAAGAGGTTCAATGTGGCTGGATTGATGTTGAGGTCTTTGATCCATTTGGACTTGAGTTTTGTGCATGGCGACAGACATGGATCTATCTGCAGTCTTCTACACACCCTCATCCAATTGTGCCAGCACCATTTGTTGAAGATGCTGTCTTTGCCCCATTGTATAATTTTAGCTGTTTTGTCGAAAATTAGGTGTTCATAGGTGCGTGGATTAATATCAGGATTTTCAATTCGATTCCATTGGTCTACCTGTCTATTTTTATGCCAATACCAGGCTGTTTTCAGAACTATAGCTCTGTAGTAGAGCTTAAAGTCAGGAATGGTGATGCCTCCTGAAGTTCTTTTATTGTATAGGGTTGTTTTGGCTATCCTGGTTCTTTTTGTTTTTCCATATAAAGTTGATTATTATCCTTTCAAGGTCGGTGAAGAATTGTGGTGGGATTTTAATGGGGATTGCATTGAATCTGTAGATTGCTTTTGGTAAGATTGACATTTTTTACTATGTTTATCCTACCTAACCAAGAGCATGGGAGGTCTTTCCATTTTCTGGTATCTTCTTTAATTTCTTTCTTTAGAGTCACAAAGTTCTTATTATATGTTTTTACATGTTTGGTAAGCGTTACACCAAGATACTTTATGTTGCTTGTGGCTATTGTAAAGGGTGATGTTTCTCTGATTTCTTTCTCTGCCTCTTTGTCGTCTGAAAAAAATAGGGCTACTGATTTTTTTGAGTTTATCTTGTATCCTGCTAGTTTGCTGAAGGTGTTTATCAGCTGTAGGAGTTCCCTGGTAGAGTTTATTGGGTCGCTTATGTAAACTATCATATCATCTGCAAATAGAGACAGTTTGACTTCTTCCTTCCCAATTTGGATGCCCCTGATCTCCTTTTGTTGTCTTATAGCATTAGCTAGAACTTCTAGTACGATATTGAAGAGATATGTAGAGAGAGGACAGCCTTGTCTTGTTCCTGATTTTAGAGGAATTGGCTTAATTTTCTCTCCATTCAGTTTGATGTTGGCAGTTGGTTTGCTGTATATTGCTCTTATTATGTTTAGGTATGTTCCTGTTATCCCTGACCTCTCAATACCTTTATCGTGAAAGGGTGTTGAATTTTATCGAAGGCTTTTTCCGCATCTAGGGAGATAATCATATGGTTTTTCTTTTTCAGTTTGTTTATATGGTGGATCACGTTGATAGATTTTCGTATGTTAAACCATCCCTGCAATCCAGGTATGAAGCCTACTTGATCATGGTGGATGATTTCTCTGATGTATTTTTGAATTCGGTTTGCCATTTATTGAGTATTTTTGCATCGATGTTCATCAGGGATATTGGTCTGTAGTTTTCTTTCTTAGTTGTGTCTTTGTGAGGTTTGGGTACCAAAGTTATTGTGGCCTCATAAAAAGAGTTAGGCAATAAACCTTCTGTTTCTATCTTGTGGAACAGTTTGATGAGTAGTGGTATTAGTTCTTCCTTGAATGTCTGGTAGAATTCTGCACTGAATCCATCTGGCCCTGGACTTTTTTTGGTTGGAAGGCTTTCGATGACTGCTTCTATTTCATTTCGGGTTATAGGTTTATTTAAGTTGTTTGTCTGTTCTTGATTTAATTTTGGTAAGTGATAGTTATCCAGAAACTTGTCCATTTCCTTTGAATTTTCAATTTTTGTGGAATACAGATTTTCGAAGTATGACCTGAAAATTGACTGGATTTCCTCTGTGTCTGTTGTTATGTTCCCCATTTCGTTTCTGATTTTGTTAATTTGCATGTTCTGTCTCTGCTTTTTCGTTAATTTGGATAAAGGTTTATCTATCTTGTTGATTTTCTCAAAAAACCAACTCTTTTTTGCATTGATTTTTTGTATTCTTTTCCTGGTTTCTATTTTGTTGATTTCAGCCCTCAAGTTGATTATTTCCTGGCGTCTTCTCCTGCGGGGTGAATTCGCTTCTCTCTGTTTTAAGGTTTTCAGTTGGGCTGTTAATTCATTTATGTGACTATCCTCTGTTTTCTTCATATGGGCACTTAGTGCAATGAACTTCCCTCGTAGCACTGCTTTCAAGGTGTCCCATAAGTTCGGGTATGTTGTATCCTCATTCTCGTTGAATATTAGAAAGTCTTTAATTTCTTTCTTTATTTCTTCTTTGACCCAGGAGTGGTGCAATTGCACATTGTTAAGTTTCCATGAGTTTTCAGTTTTTCTGCTATTTGTGTTGTTGTTGAATTCCAATTTTAAAGCATGGTGGTCCGATAAGATACAGGGGACTATTCCTATTCTCTTGTATCTGTTGAGGTTTGTTATGTCTCCTAGTATGTGGTCGATTTTAGAGAAGGTTCCATGTGGAGCAGAGAAGAAGGTATATTCTTTTGTCTTTGGATGGAATGTTCTATAGATGTCTGTTAGCCCCAGTTGAGACATAACTTCTGTTAATTCTTTTGTTTCTTTGTTGAGTTTCTGATTTGTGGTCCTGTCTAGTGTTGAGAGTGGTGTATTGAAGTCTCCCACTATAAGTGTGTGAGGTTTTATATGAGCTTTGAGTTTTAGTAGTGTTTCTTTTACGAATGTGGGTGACTTTGTATTAGGGGCATAGATGTTCAGAATTGAGACTTTGTGTTGATGGATTTCTCCTGAGATGAATATGAAATGACCGTCTTCATCTCTTTTGACTAGTTTTGGTTTGAAGTCTAGCTTGTTAGATATTAGGATAGCTATGCCTGCTTGCTTCTTATTTCCATTTGATTGGAAAATCTTTTCCCAACCCTTTACCCTGAGGTAATGTCTATCTTTGACACTTAGATGTGTTTCTTGTATGCAGCAGAAGGATGGATTCTGTCTTCGTATCCATTCTGTTAGCCTGTGTCTTTTTATAGGTGAGTTAAGACCATTAATGTTGAGGGTGAGTAAGGTCCATTGATTGCCCTTATTCCCCCACAGCTGATCAGCTTCCAAGCTAATGGTTAAATAATTTTAACTGAGATTTTATCATGTTGATATCTGGCTCATTCCACATCATCTTCCGCCAAGCTCTGAGCACTTACAATTCTCTGATTAATGGTTGGAAGCTTGGTCAGAAGCATCTGGAACACTGGTGGTGGAAGAGTCTGCTGCAACACTTGCAGCAGCTGCTGAGGCTGTCCACACACAGCAATTGCATTTGTCAAGTGGTCTACACCCTTCTCATATTCACCTTGTGCTAATAACTCTTCACCAAGCTGTATCTCTTCAAGGAAGAATTTTTGAACAGCTTCAGCATCTTTTAAGTCAGGTAACTTGGAAAGCCCAGCTCTTTCCTTAGCAAGCTTCTGTTTCTTTCTTCGTTCTCGAAGCCTGTTCTTGAAGTTGGGGTCACTCCGCCTTTTATGGTCAAAGTAGATGCAGTACCCGATGAAGAGGGCACCGCACACGCCTGCGGCAATGGCACTGTTCCGTCCCACCATCTTCGCTCGGCTGTGGCGTGTGCCGGGCCTCGGAGGCCCGCCAAGCAGCGGTTAGCTCCGACAGACCGGAGCACGCTGACCGCTCGCAGGCCCAGTCCAGACGGAAAAGCGGCTACTGATAATTTCTTGAATCACAATATTGTATAAAGTCATACTTGGGACCTTCAAACTAAATGTTACAGAAGAGTAGAGGAAGAATGAGTGTGAGCAGGGGATGATGGGGGGCAGATGAATATTGGCAGGATTACAGGGATGAGAGTTCCCAATGCAGAGTGCTTGCTGCCTTAGCTGTTGGTGTTTTTCAAATCCAATTTCCATTTGGCTGTGCCCCAAGAGTCTATAACTTTAGCATTTGTTTGTTGAATACTTTTACTTCACTTGTCATTATTGGCTCCTGATTGCAGTTGTCTTGGCAAGTACCTTCCAAACTATGTGATCCTATTAGGCTCATGAAGAAATACCTGATTCATAGTAAGTGGCAAATATTTGTAGGTTGTGGAAATTTAGGTTGTAGAGCTACACTAAATACCGTGGGGCGTGTTAGAGGCTTTATGGCCCACTCTCTACTTCCTGATCAGGAATGTAGTGTGACCAGCCAACTCTTGCTTTTGCCACATGCCTGCACACTTGCTACAATATCTAACCCACAGTGATAAGATGGCACCTTAAACTATAAGCCAGAAGAAATCAATGATTCCATGTTTTGTGTCAAGTATTTGGCCATAACAAGACAAAAAAAAAAAAAAAAAAAAAAAGAGCAAGCTTTTCCAATAATTGAATGGGTTGTGAATAAATTACAGGATCTTAATTTTATTCCATATTCATATTTTTATATTAGAGTATTTTTGTCCTTCCCATTATGATTACACAAGCAAGCCTCATTCTGGCTGGTTTCACTACTCCTCATAATCGGAACTTTTGCTCTCACATCATATACATTTTGTTAAGCTTACCAATCTTAAACTCTTTTATTCCCTTTGTAGTTTCATGACCTATGGACAACACAAACATATATTTGTGTAAATACCTACCTACCTACCTACATACATACATACACACATATGTACATACATGTATATATAATTTTAAATCTAGGTACCATGTATGGGAACAAGTATACAGTGATTGATTTTCTATATCTGTCTTTTTTCTGTGTGTTCATATGTGTGTATTCACTTGTGTGGTCATACATGTATGTAGGTACCTATATACCCAGACAAAATCATGCACATATATATATATATATATATATATATGTGTGTGTGTGTGTGTGTGTGTGTGTGTGTGTGTGTGTGTATATATATATACATGTATATATTCATGTATTATTTAAACGTTAAATTTCACATGTGTGGTAAAAGATGCCTTTCTAAATATCTTTCTGAATGTCTTTCTGAATCTTATATTTTTTGTGAAAGTGTATGTGTCTATGTGTGTGTGCATGGACTTACATGTTTGTGCTCATATGTTGTGTAGTTACATGGGTATATATGAATTATAATGCAGAATGTACATGTGCATATGGATGATAGAGGATAACTATGCCTATCAATTTTTGGTGCTCTCTACTGTATCTTTTGAGATAAAATGCCTCATTGCTCTTGAGATCATCAAGTAAGTTAATCTGGCTGGTCAGGGATCTTTCTGTCTCCACTATCCCATTCTGAGTTTATAAACATGCTACCAGAATTTTGAAAGTTATTCTGGGGATTGAACTCAAGTCTTAATATTTGCAATGCAAACACTTTATCAATTGAGCTTGTTTTATATAATGGTTTTGATTTCTATACATTTTACTGAAAATGTCATGACTTCAATTTTTATGGCTAAATACAATGTTCCATTGTGTTTTTTTGCTTCATTTTCTTAACCCCCTAGTGAATGAAAAAAGAAATAAAAAGAAAGGAAGGGAAAGGAAAAAGTACATTACAGCGTCTAGGAGTGTCGGAGGAGAAAGTTTATGGTAGATATGTAGGAGAATGTGACTACAGGCAGGGATATATGGGAAAGTCCAGAGTCGATATGAACATACAGAGCTGTGCCATGTAGAAGAGGGGAAAGGAGAGGGGAAAGGCAGGAACCAGGTACAGCAGCCAGGAATTTGAAGGTACAAAAAGGGCACATAACAAAAATATCTGGATTATATAAGGAAGACCCTTATGGCAGGGGGAAGGGCAGTCCATTCTCTGGGATAGAGAATTCAGGGTAGAGGGCAGGGTATGCCAGCCTGTAACAGGTAAGGACTAAGGGATGTTGGGAGAACCTGGAGGCCAGGTCGACTGTGATATGTTAAGTAGGCACCTCAGCCATTTGTCTCTGTGTTGAAACTTAACACTTAGTTATTGTGAAGGACACAGTAATGTATACCCTCTATATATCCTTCATGGATATATTAAATATTAAACAGTGGTCTATGTCTATCTGCCTGGTACAGTAGTTCTAACACAGGTTTTTTTTTGTTGTTTGTTTTTTGTTTTTTTCTTTTTTTCTGTTTTGCAAAACTTTCATGCTACTTTCCTAGTGACTTCACCAGCAATGTGTACGGATGACTCTATTCCTCCTCCATTACTCTCTTCCACAAATATTTGTTTGTTCTTTGTTTTCTTGATGATAGATAATTTGATTGGGATGAAAAAGCAGTGTTACTTTGCATTTTCTAATCCCAAGGATGTTGAAAACTTTTTCAACTATAAACCATTTGTACTTTCAGAGAATTGCCTATCTATGAGTACATTTATCATTTGGATGATTATTTTCTTCTTTTGTTGTTGTTTGCCATTATAAGTTTTTTTTAGATACTAATTGAAGATCTTATATGTAGCACATAGGATCTTTCCCTTTTTGTAGGCTATCTTTTCAATTTAATATCTATTTTCTTTGAGTACAAATGTTTAATTATATAGAATGTCATATGTCAATTCCTGAGATGGTTGCTTATGATACTGGGGTCCCTTTTAGTATCCCTCTACCTATGTCTGTATCTTAAAATGATTTCCTGGAGCAGTTTCAAAGTTATGAGTCCAACAGTAAAGTCTTTGATCCATTTTACTTGATTTTTTGTGCAGAAAGATGTGGGTTTAGTTTTCTATGTGTGAAAATCCAGTACTCTCAAGTGCATTTGTTAAAAAGGGTCTTTTCTCCCATGCATGCTTTTGACAGTCTTGTCAAAAATTAGATGATTACAGCTGTGTGGGTTTGTGGATCTTTTAGTCTATTCCAGTGGGCTATAGGTATCTTTCTTCTGTCAGATCTTCTGTCAGATTGCCTTTAGACACTGTGGTTCCATGATACAATTTGAGATCAGGTATTATGATTTAATTCCTAATATCTTTTTTTACAGTTTGGAGAATTGATAGTTTCCTTTCATCTCTTTTAATATTGGTTATTTTCTTTGTATTTTGTGCCACAGGGGGAGGACATGGTGATATTCCTTTTTATTCATGTCTAATTGATTTTCTAAGTGTATCATGTATTTGAATCTTAATTTCTTTCTCAAGATTGGGGAAGAGAAATTCCTTGAGATCCTTTTTATATTAGCTTCTTCTTTTCTTAGATTCTTAGTTTTATTTCTTGTTTGCATTTCTGAGTTATTGAATGTGTGTGGCCATGTTCAATTTTTTTCCTTTGATATTTGAACCCAATGTTTGTCAACTTTGTCCTCTATTCCTACAGCCACATATTTGAAAGATAAATTGTGTGTCACCTCTTAATTTGGTTTTCTTGCCCATATCTTAGGAGTATGGAATACTAAAAAAAAAATAGTATTTTAATGCTTTGTTGCTGTGTGGTGGAAGTGATTCTTTTAAGAGTAGGTCAGAAGAGATAATATTTTTGATTATGAGTGTGTGTACTATGCCAATTAGACCGAATCATTATGCTCCAATTATGCTTGATAAAGTGGTTTTCTGTGAATGTGATTTGGAATCCATCAATAAATCAATTTTATTATTAAAGAATATTCAATTTTGTCTTATTTTCACATATTAATAAAGGATGAATAAAATGACTTTAATTTTTTAAAAATTATTTTTAGTAATGTTTGTTTTATTTATCTATATTTTCTATAGCACTGGACTCTGTGACCAAGGAACTTATGATCCAAACAGCAAAACCAACTTTTGGCCATCTGACAGAAGTAAGAAAAATGTTCATTCTATAGAAAATGTCAGTTGAAGGAACAAGATGTTGATGATTATTTACAGTGTCCTGAAGGCTTGTCCCTTCCCCACTATAGTGATTGTAATGTGGCATATGCTTTGGGAATCAATATGCTTAGAAACTTAAAAAAATTATAATGATTCATCTACTTGTATGTCTGGCTTTTATGTGGTAACATTTCATAGCACTGATAGTTAGGCTGCAAATCTGTTAAGGACTAACTTAATGACATTGTGTTTGTAGGTAGTCTTAAAAGATTTTTTTTTTTTTTTACATTTCAAGGAAGTTTGTAAACTTTTAAAAGTAATTTGTTTATACTTCATGTACATTGGTGTTTTGTCTGCAAGTCTGTGTGAGCTAGTCAGATCCCCTGGAATTGGATTCAGAGTTGTGAGCTGCCATGTGGGTGCTGGGGATTGAAGCCTGGTCCTGTGGGAGAGCAGTCAGAGTTCTTGCCCACTGAGCCATCTCCAAACCCAGACTACAAACTTTTACATAGATACTTAAAAGATATGGTTGAGTTCTTTTGGCTTTTAACTTTAAAGTTCATATTTCATTTAGATAACATTATGGCTTTAATCTACATACATATAAACAATATACACATACACACAAATATGTGTGTGTATTTATAAAACATATGCCTATCTGTATAAAACTGCATTTGTAATATGCTTATAAAAGGCATAAAAGCTGAGTTCATACCGGAATATTAACTGTCTCATGTGGTATGCTGAAACATAAAGAAAATCTGAAGTCAATAGCAGTCCAGAGGGGCCTAAAGAAGTCTGTGTTGAAAAGAAGATAGAACCCAAACCACTAAGGCTATATGAATGGAAATCTTATATGTAATTTGTGGCAGATCTTATGTTATATAAATGTGATGTGAAAAACTGATAGAGAAATCAAAGGAGGAAGAAATGATTTTGATGGCTTAGCTCTCCAAATTCTTTGAGGGCTAGAGATACCTAATTTTTTTTAAATGTTGGAATATTTATAGTGTGGTGCTAAGTGCCAGACTCCATTTCTCTCTCCCAATGATGTTTTAGTGAAATTTAAATGATACTGTCTAATACTTTTGGTGTTCCATTATAGTCGAACTGGGACACATGCTAAGCCCTTTCAAAACCCATATTTGATAAAAGAAAAACAAACAAAAGAAACAACAACAACAACAAAAAAAAAACCCCAAACCAAACCAAACAAAACAAAACCAAAAACCAAAACAAAACAGAACATATTTCTCTGCTTTTCCCTTCAAGAAAGTGAAATTTGAATTGCACTTTGAGAATTTCTTTGTGATTTAAAAATTTAGGTGAAACATTCAATTGTTTTGGTGTTAAGTCAAAATTGTGAAATAGTGTGATACGATAAGAATACTGTCTTTTCATATTTTCCCAATGACAAGTCTTGATGCTAATGGGGCTATCACCTCCAAGAGGGCCAATATGAGATTAGAATTTATTTGCTTTGATGATGCCTATTAGTAGCAATGATAACTGCACATTCCCAGAAATCAAATTTTGCCTCTGCTGATACAAGTGCAGCTTTGTCTGATTGACTAGAAAGAAGCAAATCTGGAACAGAGGGAAGGTGATGCTCTTTACAGTAATGCCATTGGCCTAATATAGGAGATGTCAGGAAGAATTTCCTTATTTGAGAGTGGAGCTTCAGTCAATAGTGTTCTGTGCATCATAGGTAAATCATAGATGCTGCTCTCTCCTAAACAACAATATATCTATATAACACTGTTTTTATAATATAGTAATATATTATTATCTCTATAAATAGTTATATAAATGGCATAAGGGACACAATTTTTACTGTAAAGAAATTGTGAGTTATATATACATACATATATATATATATATATATATATATATATATATATATTGGTGAGATTAGGAAGGACTCGAAAGAACTGACTATATACCTTGGGATGCAATCTGGGTTATGCTTCTCATTAGTCCAGGCATAATGGAGCGTGTGATATATTAAGATGGATAGACATTTAAAAGACAGTTAAAAATAATGTAGGGCTAGGAGAAAATCCTAGGTTCAAAGTTTGTGCAGAGAGGGATTTAGAAGTTTCAAATTAAAGTATTTCTAGTAGTTTTCAGGGTCAGGTTTGAAGTAAGTTTCCTTTATCATCTAAATCTTTGGATTGTTTATTAATGACTACTGTGTAGATAGTTTTCAAATGCTGATAAACAAAAATGTGCCAAGTCCATCTTCCAGTCTGGTGAAGATAGTCCTGGATTCTGAACACTAAGGAAGACACATCTGTGCTAAACACAAGAAAGTAAAACAGAATCATTTACTATGGCAATGTGTTAATGACTATATACTCATTTTTAAATCTGTCTTCATAACTATGCTCTTTTATGACAGTTACCAAGCTGCTCAGAATGTTCCATTCCTTAGGGCTTCTATTCCAGTACTTTGCAAAAGCTAGCATCATTCCATTGACTATATTCTAGCATAGTCAAAATTAAGTGAGCAAATTATATGTCTAAACACCACACATTTAAAAGTTTTATTCATTTTGTACTGGTGAGAATTTTTCCTGAGACATGAAATTATTTTTACTTCTTTAAAAAAAATGAACTCTATAAATAGCTGTGTTTGCTTACATGATAGCTGGGGGTATATAGCCAAATGTCTGTCTGTTTTGGCTTGGGGAAGATCATTATGTAAACTCTCCTGCTCACTTTGAGTCAATCTTCCCTGGTATAAACATGATTGCTTTGTATTTTTAGATGTCCATTGATCTAGAAATGGCTGTAGACTATTGTCTATGATGTTATTTGAAGATCTTTCTTTTTTTAACATTGGGACTTCAACTTAATCTTGTTTTGCAATAGTTTTATCTTGCTGTGTATGAACATGCTTTTGGTTTAATTTTTGTGTACTGTTCATTCCAGTTTTATGCTTCTAAAACTATGAGCTTGTAAACTCCATTTGGTGGTAGCTAGTATATTTCAAATACCGTTGCTGTTTCATTGTCTTCTCTCATTTTGGGTTCTATGGAAGCATAGGTAAAAAATTTTCATTACAGTATCCTTTTTCCTACACACCTTTATTTGTTTCTTGTTGTCGGTATCTCTCCTTAACTTTACAGTCATTAATTGTCCTTTCTCCCAGTTTGCTAATTCTGCCCTCTATGATTTTAACTTGTTCTGTGTTATTTTCTTGGTGTCCAGTCATAACTCGAAGATTTATACTACTATATGAGTTTGTAGTCTATCTTTTCCTAGAGAAACTTGTATTGAAAGTTATTTTAAATTCCTAATCAACTAATTATAATATTAAAATCTTGGCATTGTATATAAAATATCTATCTGTTCTTTGTTTTCTTTTAGGCATGATTGTCCCTAGACTGATAAGTTTCAACTGAATAATTGAATTAAAAAATACTTATGCAGATTTTAGATGATATTCCTCTGTTGATATGATTCATTTCTGTAGTAGGCTGACAGAGTGCTGGATTTGTCACTTTATCCAATCAAGGCAAATTGAATTGAACCTCAAAGGAAATGCAATGGTCTGCTTCTTCCATTCAGTTAGTCATCAAGGTTTTCAATAAAATTAGAGAATACAATTTAGGCTCCTTCTTTTAGCAATAATTTTGTTCATTTAGCCTTTGTATTACAATGAAATCATATGGGGAAAATTGACTATGTGTTTGATATTTTTCAGAGTATTAATTTCATCATTGTAGACTCATGGATTCAGGAAAAGCTCAGGTGCTCTTTGTCCCCAGTAACAATTCTCACTCCCAACAAATCCTTTTAGTAGGCTATGCAAATAGTCCCAAATTCATCAAATCAGCAGGACAATGATAGCTCTTCCTCATGTTACCCATTTTTTATGACCTTGTGGCATTTGCAGAATTTTGAATACTTTATAGAAGTGATTCCTCCTCCCTAAGCTGCTTCAACCATGCCCATCAAACCAGTACTCTGTTACTCCCTAATCACTCGGCCCAACAGAAGTTCTGAATCTATTTTCTCAAAAGGGCAGAACTAAGTTTTTTGTCCACATTAATTTTATCTTCATAGAGTACATGGAATAATCTTTATATTGTCATTTTTTAGTTGGAGACATGACCAACTAGACATGGAAGGAATTGGTTAGCTTCATTTTTTTTTTTTTTTTCTAATGAATGATTCAAAGTTGCCTATGGTCTTCTAACTATTATAACTTTGAAATAGTCTTCTCCATATATTTCCATTTGAATATCACAGACTTTTCTTCTTTATATGTGCATATGCTAATATTGCTCATGTGAAAAAGAAAGATTCTTTACTTTATGCTTTGTGGAAAGATTAAATTCTAGAAAGGTTTTTAGTAACTGTGCTAGTTAGTGGTCTGGTGTTTCTCTCTCTCTCTCTCTCTCTCTCTCTCTCTCTCTCTCTCTCTCTCTCTCTCTCTCTCTCTGTGTGTGTGTGTGTCTTTTGTCACCTTGACACAAGCTAGAGTCACCAAAAGAAGAGGAAACATCAGTTGAGAAAACGTTTCAAGTTGGCCTGTAAGCAACTCTTATTGGGCAATTTTTTATTTAATGATTCCTAAGGGAGAATATTGCCCACTGTAGGTAGTATCAACTCTAGGCATGTAGTCTTGCAGTGTGTTAAACCTGATGGTCATTTGTATAACTTCTTTAAGTCTACTTTAGACACTTTTTCTTTTTCTTTTTTCTTTTTTTTTCTTTTTTTTTTTTTTTGCTTTTATTTCCAGATTTTTGTTTTGTTCTCTTTGAACCTAGATAATTTTTAGATTATTTAGATTATTTAGTTACATTGATGTTTTTGTTCCTGAGTACTTTTTAAATTGTAACTATGTCTGGATATGAATTCCTTACAAATATTAGTACGTGGCATTTTCCCTTATTGAATAGATTGTCTCATTTTGTTGTGGATTGTCTTCTGATTATAGATTTCTAATTTTATAAATTTTAGTTTTCTATCCCCTCTT